TGACATTAGTGTGGGGACCTCACACCTCTGGCACTGCACCATAGGGCTGAACGGGGCCCCCAGGTGGCAGCATGGGCAGCTGCCTGGGTCTTGGCAGAGCCAGAGCCCACCAGTGGCCTTTCCAGTTGTGCTGGTCCTGTGCTCCCAAGGGTGCTCCCGGGGGTGCTCACGGGGCAGCTGCAAGGACTTCTAAATTAGCCTCAACATTTCCCAACAGCCCACCAATAACTCTCCATGTAGGAGCTCAGCAAGTCCCCGATGGGTCCAGGAAGGATAAAAATACAGCAGAGGCATGCCCCATACATCCCGGGAGCCACGGTGAGCTGGAGAGGATCTCGCCTACCTGTAGTGGCCTGGGAGAAAGCATTTTATTGCCATGTCCAAGCAAGACCTTAATTCCAGAAACTTCAGAAGGGCGTGGAGACATGGAGCCTCAAAGCTCCAAAGGTGAGTCTGATGAAAGGGTAGGTTGAATTCCCTAGCATCCCTTTACAGGAGTGTTATATGGTTCCCCCCAAAATGTGGCCTGTTCTCGTGACAGCCTGCGAATTCCTCTTGCTGGTGGGAGCCACCCTGACTCACGTGGGGCCCGGCCCCATGGTGCCCTCTGTCCTCACTGAACAGGACACTCTGGGAGTGAGGCCAGGAACGCCTCTGTACTGGGTCATCCCGAGGTGCCTGTTTGGGAGAGAAGGTCGTGGAGCCTCATCTTACAGCAGGACTCAGACAGTACTGAGGAAGGTCATCCACGTCCAAATCACCCCAGGAAAAAACCTCAACCAGCTCGGAGATAGAGCACGGTCAGATCGGATGCAGAATTGAAAGTAGTTTGGTAACAGAACGTTAAGGCCGCTTCACTTTTTACACCCAATAAAAAATAATGCTAAAATCTTAAAAAAAAAAAAAAATAATGCGCGTCTCCTCCTCTAATTAAAAAAGAGGCCAAGAAGTGCACACTTGTGGAACCGGTGGTCTGGGAGAAGCCCCCGGTGCTTTCCTCACGACGCCTGTCTTAACTCGGGAACAGAATTCTGTCGGGATTGGGTGGGAATTCTAGAACAGCATCAGGAATGCTCCCCGTTTCTCGTGTGATGGCTCGCACAGAACCGTCTCTCAAGAAGCAAGGCACGGTCCATTCTTACTCCCGCAGGGAAAGAGGAGGCTGTGTCCTCAGAGGAGGACCTATGTGGTGTCTCCTTATGCTCAGGGTCCTCGTGTGCAAATACGAACACGAAAGCTACCCTCCGTCTGGAGAGAGCATCACAATGGGTCTAATCAGGGCCATAGAAAATGGACCTTCCCACCTCTGGCTCAGGCCAGGAAGTCTGCTCCTGGAGCTGGTGGCTGTGAGACTGGGAAGCGTCCTCCGCACAAGGGGGTGTTTGGAGGTTGGGCTACGCAGACACAGTTGAGTTTTATACACAATATACGTTTCTGATGTGAAACCACTGTCATTCCATTATAACCATTTGGCCAAAGCCAAAGGAAGGCAGTGGACAGTCCTTCTCTTGTGGCAAAGGGGAAGCTAGTATGTGTGTGTGTGGGGGGGTACGCAGGTGTGACTTTGGGGCGGGGGCTACGCTTAGTCTTGGGTCTGAGGCTGAGCTTTGCCGACTCAAAGCATCAACCAGATACAAGAGACGGACCCTCCTCGATCTCGTCATCCACTTCTGTAATGTAGGCATGCCCTGTCAGTCCCTGACTGACCCACAGAAGTTTCCGCCATGATGGACCACTCTAGATCCGCACCATCCATCATGGCGGCCACCAGCCACTTGAGGCTGTTGAGGACTTGAAAATGTGGCTAGTGGAACTGGAACTGAATGTTTCATTTTATTTTTATTTAAATTTAAGTTTAAACAGGTGTGTGTGCCTGTAGTATGGTATTGGACAGCTATATTCCTAAAATACAACGGGGTTTGTATTTTCTGAGAGAATTTGTCATCCCTCTTAACGTCAAAGAACAAAAGTCCGGGAACAGCCCAGAATGACACTGCTGTAATCTGCAAGAGAGGCACCAAAGGAAAAATGTTCTATTGCCAATTCATGTGTCATTTTGGGAGATGTCAGGAAGGTGTGTGTGACCAGAGGCAGGGAGACAAGTTAGTCTCTCCGGGGAGGCCCTGGGGAAGCAGTGACATGGGGCATCCATTCTCTCCATGCTCCTGCCAGTTTATTTGACTAGAAAACCTGGATCCAGCCCACGGTCATGGTCCCACTGCAGCACCAACCATGCCACTGGATTTCTCAAATGCAAACTGGTTGTGAGTTCCTTCAAGTGTTTGCAAAACGTGAGTGAGGCTCGGACCACCTCTGCATCACTTGGTGATGGAGGTGCGGGGAGAAGAGGTGGCTGAGGTCATTGCGGCAGGGATGCGGAGCCACGTGGCCCGCGTGTCACTTACCAACTTCTCTCCAACTAGTGTCTAACCAGGACAAAGATCCATGTTACCTCCAAAGGTTTTCAGGTCCGGGCCCGCTGGAGTGCTCCCAAACACAGAAACAGACACAGGAGCAGCGGAAAAACTAAGAACACCATAGTCATGTTTATTTCTAATTACAAGAAACAGAACATCAGTCCCTCATTTGTACAAAAATACCTGAAAGTTGACAATTAGGTTCACAAGCCACAGAGCTATGTACAGAAAGGGGCAAAGCACGTGGAATAGAGGTTTTGTCTCGTGATACCTTCAGCATTCCCTGAAACCGTCCACATGTCCTCTGTGTCACCGGCACCGCAAGCTTGCCCGGGGACTTCACGATCCCCCGCGAGCAGGTCCCGCCCCGGACAGCTGCCTCAGTTGGTCAGACTGTCAGGCATTAAGTGCACAAAAGAGAAGACAAAACAGCTAGACTGAGGCACGCATTTCTCCAAGGTTTAGCAAACAAAACAACGTTCCAGAACTCGAAGACCCAAGGTACCCGAGATCACCCATTTCAACTCCAGTACCCAAAGATCTGGGTATTTCCAACTAAGTCCAGGCTGCTATGTGGGGTTTTCCTTTGAGAAAAGAAAATCACAGGTGAGAGAAAGAGAGAGAGAGAAAGTCAACAGGCTCCAAAATGACCCTGAGCTGTTCCATTTACATTCATGTCATTTTAAATACAAAAATAAAAATCAACCATCCTTCCGCCCCTGCTTGGTCAGGCCAGGCGCCCATATCCTCAAGGGACAGGCTGCTTCTGGGTGGAATTCCCAGCCACCAGGCACGGGGGCTCCCACCCTGCACCCAGCATTTCACCGCGGCCAGGAAGGTACAGAAGACGACGTCAACCCAGCAACACACAGACCGTGAGTCAGGGTCCAGCTTTCCCGCTCCTCTTAAATAAAATGCATGTTTACAAGCACGAGATGCCATGGAGGCTGGCCGTTCAGCGGAGAGGGGCGTGAGAACCTCATCCTCCAGGTCTACGCACAGGGAAAAAGAGATCGCCGCATTGCTCTCGGGTTCTACTTCCCATCAGTGGAGAGAAAAATGTCTAACGGGAACTGAAGACCGGCTCCGAGGGGCGGCGCCCTGGCGACCGGCAGCCAGGCGGGACCTGGGGGTCGGCTGACCTGCAAGGGCCCGAGATAACTGGCTACAAAACGAAGAAAACGCGACGGAGTGTCTACAGCTAAAAACGTTTTACTAAAGATTCTGCATTTGTATAAGTAGACATTTTTTGGAAAACGAGCAGAGTGAGGCCCGTAAACTAAAATACAGTGTTTCTACACCCTTGAGGTCCCAGGAGCACAGCAGTGCCACTGATGAGGGTCCCGTGGGTCCCACCAGAGTACACGCTTGCTGGGGGCACGGTGGTGGGGCAGAGGCAGGCACCTGGTGGGCCAATCCCGCGTGGTGACCCATCTCCCAGGCCTGTCAGGGGAGACCTTTCTGCTTTGCAGAGTCTGCCAGTAAAGCCGCGGCCCCTGTCACAACTGGTGACTCAGCTACGGGGACGGGGTGGGGGGGCAGTCCAGTCACTGTGTGACTCAGTCCCCCACGGGGGAAGCAGTGCTGTGTTGACCAGACTCTTCTGAGCTCCAGCCCGCCGAGGGGGGCCTCCGCCTGGGCCGGCTCACAGGGCTTTTCAGCAGGACAGAGGTCATCGAGTGAGGACCTGTCCGTGCCGGGCAGCAGACGTGCCCTTTTCTATGTTCACGTCTTTATCACCATGGAAACCCTCGGGCCACCTCTGGCAGTCAAGCAGGTGCCATTTTCCTTTTCGATCCTTTAACCCCCGGAGGGACGACGGCCAGGAAAAAGCCTGAGTGCCTGGGGGTGGTGGGGAGTAAGGCAGCGATCGTTCTAGAACAAGCTTAGAGGGGGCGGTGGACACTGGGTGCTGGGGCGGTGCGGGGGTCCCAGGGACGCTCCCCATGTCCACTAGAGGCGAGGCCACTCAGCCAGACCGTGAGGTGGGCCAGAGAGCTTTCCAGAGCACCCAGGCCTCCTGAACTGTGAAGGACACATATGTAACAGGTGTAGGGGGCATCTGTGCACACGGAAGTGACGGACAGATGGGGGTGTCCGACTGCGTCCACACCAGGGGCCCAATGCCTACTACGGGTGACACCTGTGTCTCTTTAAAAAAAAAAAAAAAAAGCTCTTCAAGTATTCTGGGGAGGGCTGGGGTGGTTTGTTACCTGGGAGCAGATCCGCCTCCAGTCACCTGCACCGGGCGGGGACCTGGAAACACCTGGGGGCCCAGATTCGGTCTCTGGAGTCTGCTCCTCGCCAAGGTCCCCGCGTCCCTCGTGCACAGAGGAGCCAAACCCCCTCCTACTGGGGCCGAGGGCAATACTGAAAACAAAGAAGGAGTGCAAAAAGTGATCGATACAAAAAAGTAAACATATCAGTTTTAATTGTCAAGATTATTCCAGGGCAAGAGTTCATTTCCAATTACGTGTCTCTGGTTCTCGCTCCTACGTGGCCCAGCCAAGACGATCCGTCCAGTTTTTTGCCTCCCGTTCGAGGTTGCGCTCTCCTGCCTCCCCGATCTGTTCGGCGTTTGGGGCGGGGGGAGGCAGCCCCGTCAGATCCGCAGCAGCTAATTGTTGCGGGAGTCCAACCCCGAGTCCCTCCTGGCGGGTGGGCCCCGACGGACCCCGCTCCCCGGGGTGCAGAACGGACGAGTGCTCTCGGCCACGCGCGACCCCCCGGCCCCGTTCCAGTGTCAGCTTGCTCCCGTCCTCAGCCAAGAGTGAGTGTGAGGTCATAAGGCCACTCGGATGCAGTGGTGCTTGAGTTTGCAAGGTAGGACGCCTTTGTTGAGCTGGTAAAAGTCCACAAGCTGGATCAGGTCAGAGAATTTGGTGTTCCCGTCGTCGAGGCTGAAGAACATCTGCCCGTCATCCTCGCACTAGAGGGACACAAGGACATGTGCCGAGTTAGGGGCCACACGCTTGGGGACAAAGAGTGCGACTATGGGGTCACTGCAAGGGATCAATGAGGGCAGGAACCGGCAGTGCTTTCCTAGGTCCTGCCATAGTGGATGTCAGGTAGCCATTTCCATCAACATGGAGGGACCCCATGGTACCTTCTGGAAGTAGCAACCTTCCTAAGGCTGGTCTGCGCAGAGAGAGTTAAGGACTGCACTGTGGTGGGAACACGTGTGTACCGAGCAGGTCAGTCTGATTAATAACTCAGAACCGCTTCTAGACTCCAAAACACAGCTGAAGGCACGAGTGCACCCCGTTTTCAAGCCTCCAGCGACTATCCCTGGGAGGCTTCCAGAATCTGGGGTTATCGGGGAGAATGGCATTACCCACTCCGCTGGCCACATAACAGGTTTCCTTTGATTTGAGGCTAAGACAATGAGAGATGATGTAAGGCGGGGTCAGACAGAGCAAACAAGGAAGGAAGCAGTTCCCCTCAGGCGACGAGTCCCAGGTTGGCACTGAAGCTTCTGTGCAGTCTGGGCAGCCTGGCCCCGGGCACACCACCAATGCCTTTGCCCTTCCGCTGTCTCATGGGCAGAGCGAGAGCATCATCGGGACACGGCAGGAAGGCTCCCGAAAAGCTAACAGGACTCCCCTGTGATCCTCCCACTCCCATCCCTGAGGGACTCCCGAGACGCTGAAGTCCTGGGCTCAAGCAAGCTTCAGACCTGCCAGGTGTGGGCCTCCCAGAGCTTTCTTTGCTACTGGACAGAGTGGATCTCTGAGCGGAAAAGACCTCACCACCCTCTTTGGGCAGAACATGGCCTGGGTTGGGGCCCCACAGGAAACATTTTAGGAATGTTATGACCTGTAGACTTCATCACTTAAGAATGTGAAACATCTGATGTCAATTTCGTATACGTTACTCCCCAGCTGATGACTTCTGGGAGGTGTGTTCCCAATTTCAAAAAACAAACCTATCAGGGGACTCGGAGAAGTCTCTCTGGTCAGCTTGGACCTGATATTTAACGACCTGCAGGTCTGGTTAGTTTGGGGTTTGAAAATTGCATTCGGAACAAACCCAGGAAACAACAAGGCTCAGTGAGAGGTTTTCGATACTTACAGGTAAGATCTGGAAATTTTTAATTTTCTGATGATGACAGAGCGTGAGCACAAAAGCCTTTGGATTGCTCTGGCTGTCTCGGAGGAGAAAAAGCCTAGGGATGGAAAAAATCAGCTGATTGTACACTTTCAAAAATCCAGACCTGGGATGTGGGTTTGTATCTTTGCACATGCATGAACACATGCGCACATTCACGCACAAACACACGCACGCATTGCCCCACTCCTGAGGATAAGAGAGCCTTGCAGACGGTACAGTTCAGGATGCCTGAGGACGGGCTTCTGAATGTCATCCTCCAGTGAAAGCATGCTAGGGCCATGGCTGGGCAGGTGCACCATTGCGGCTAGAACGACATGCGCCGGAAAGTCATGAAGTTCAAATTTCAAAGGGCCATGAGCCAGGATACAGCATCGTAGTAATATCAGACCTGACAGATGATAACCCAGAGAATAAAACCGGAATCCGAGAGTACCTTCCGATACTGTAATAAATGAGCAAGTAAATTAAGAGAGGAGGAGAAGGAGCTCTTCCTTAAAACAGAGGGCAAGCTAAGTAAACAGGAAGAAATGATGGGCCCGACACTATCTGGCCACAGCCGCAGGTTCCCACAGATGAAGGACAAGGTCGTCAATAGGTGCGAACATCAGCAGATGGAATTTGACGAGAAACAGAATTTTCGTTCTCAAACCATCACCCCCCAGCACTTGTCGATACAAAGGGAAACACAGCGACTGTCCATCGGAGGAACCCGCTGGTACCATCACTGCTGCGTATCCAAGGCAACACCGCCGGCAATGAGACACCAACTCTGCCCAGCCAGGGGGGACTCCTGCAAGGTGGTGACCCGGCTGAGCCCCAGAGCACCTGGAGGCACCCAAGCCGAGGTGCACTCTGTAAGAACCGGCTTCTTCCTGTGACACGTGTCCAGGAAGGACAAAGGCTAACGAGATGCGCCCCCAGAGGAGCATTTAGAATTACGACGTTTTTGTTCCCCGTGAAGGATGTGAGAGGAACCGCTGGCAAAACTGGACCAAGTGTGTAGGAGCCACGTGGATGTCTACTTCCCAATATTTAAAAAAAGGTTTTATCTTTCTAATCGATTTTATCTATTTGATAAAGAGAGAGAGGGAGACAGAGAACACAAGCAGGGGGAGCGGCAGGCAGAGGGAGAAGCAGCCGCCCTGCTGAGCAGGGAGGCAGATGCGGGCTTCGATCCTGGGACCCCGGGATCATGACCAAGCCGAAGGCAGATGCTTATCTGACTGAGCCACCCAGGCGCCCCTACTTCCCAATTTTTACAAGGGTACTGTGGTTAAATAGAAGATGAGTCCTTGTTCTTACAAATTTTCTACCAAAATAAGCAGGATCCAAGGGACATCATGCTATTTGGAACTTACCTCCCAAAGGGTTCAGACAAAAAGAGGAGGGAGGGAGGCTATGATAGAGCAAACGGGCCATAGCACTGACAGCCGGCGCATCTGAGAAAACGCACAGGAGATTGCTATAAGACTCCGGCAGCTTCCCCATGACACCAATTTATTTCAGGATAAGAAATACATAAAAATCCCAGTAGCACAAAGACCTAGAAATCTTTGCTTTTCCACAAGCACACCTGGCATTCGTGGAGAAGGCAGCTGTACCCTAGGAAGGAGGAAAGAGGAGCCCTAACGCCAGAATCCAGGTGACAAAGAGCCTTATTCAAGGCAAACAGTGCACCATCTGCTACTGGACTCTACTATTAAGACAGAAACCAGATAAATGGGACGGCAAAGTCCTGTGTTAAAAAGGCAGAAAGGTATTTTATTTTACTACAGGACTTCTCAGAGCCTTTAAATGGGAATATCCACCGTGGGTGCCGTGGGACTGGAGCACTGGGTTTTGCACTCTCGTGTGACCACACACCCCTTATTCCAGTGTTCCCAGGAGACATATTCTTCCAAATTTCTTCTGGGAGACCAGAGTCCCATGACTTGTGAGGCGGGCAGTCAGTGCTAAGAATTGCCTGCCCTGCGTGGAGGGTTAGGTGTGGGGCGTCTGCCACGCAGAACCTTGAGAGGCCGGAGGTCTTCCCCTTCTCCTGGGCATAGCCACATGCCTCGGTTGTCCACCTCAAAGATCTGTCTTATGGGTTATTTCATTCCAAAGAAGCCACCATCCCAGCAAAAACCTGGGAACTTCCTGGACACCGGGCTGTCTGACAGGAAAAGCTGGTTTGTCCCTCGCTCTCCTGTCAGCTTAGTTAGCTCCCAGGCACTTCCTGCTGCAGGCAGGTGCACCGTGAACGTGGCCCTGGAGCAGCCCCGGGAGCAGGCAGGCACTGCCCCACACCTTCCACCTGGGGCAGGACCTTGGAAAGTGCTGAGGTTTCCCCAAATGCTTGGGATTTATAGTTTGTGCCCAGTGGCTGGCTGTCTGCAACCATTATTAACTCAGAGGAACCTGTGGTCTGAAAAGCATGTGGCTCTGGAGTTTGTGGGATTCTCAGACCTGCCACGGATCAGATCCATGACTGGCCTGTTCTGCCTCGGGCTGCATGGGACGCTTGACCTACAGGAGCCCAGGAAGCCAGTGATTGCCAACCACAAACCGCAGGAGCCCCACTGATAGCCCAAGGGACCTCTGCAAGGACAGGTCCCAGGAGGACTGCGTGGCAGGCAACTCGGGCAGGTCAAGAAATCTGGAACAGAGGGACGCCTGGCGGCTCAGTTGGTTAAGCAGCTGCCTTCAGCTCAGGTCATGATCCCAGGGTCCTGGATGGATCCCCCCGTCGGGCTCCCTGCTCTGTGGGAAGCCTGCTTCTCCCTCTGCCCCTCACCCAGCTCTTCTGCTGTCTCTCTCTCTGACAAATAAATAAATAAAAATCTTTGGGGAAAAAAAATGGAAAAAAAAAAAAAGAAATCTGGAACCCAGCACAGGAAGGAAAGCGGTGAGGACCACGTAGCAGGGAGAGCTTGCAAATGTGCCCCCTGGCGGGCTCCTGAAGCAGAGCGTGGCCTGTGTTTGCGGGGGGGGGGGGGGTTGCTGACAGCGGTCTGAGGGACAACCCAGCTCAGGGTCATAAGTGAGGCTCTGAGCGCTTGGCAACTCCATGGTTCTCATTTCAAGATGAGGGCAGCGGGCACAGAGAAGTTACGCCAGGTCCCCAGGGGCTAGCAGCCAGCCTTAGGCACAGAGGAATCCCGGCTTCTAGGATCAACAGGGCCACGGGTAAGATCGGAGGAGGCGTGTATGGACGGTTCCTTCATGGCTGCTGAGCACTGTTATGGTGCCGACCGGGGCACTGTGTCAGTCCTGGGACAGGACCCCCGCCCCCTAACATGGGGGTCCGTGGGGAGCTGCAAACAACTCAAATCTGGACAGAGAAGTTCCCTAACCCGCAGGGGAGGACTGGCGTGCTCCTCGGGGCTCACCAACAGCACGGAGCTGGAGACTCGGGGCCGAAGAGGGGTGGGCGGGGCCGGGCCCAGTGTGAGCAGGGCCAGGGTAGGGAGGGCGGGGGACAGAGCCGAAATGCTGCAGGAGAAGAAGTGAGCACCCAGTGGGCACTCAGCAGAGGCCACGACGCTAGATCTGCCCTTGGAAGAATCCTTCTCCAGGTTGTGGGCTGGCTGTGGGCGGCACGAGGGAAAGGGCGCGGGCACCTGGACACCAGGGGTTTCAAAGACCCCTCCCCACCGGGTGGGCGCTAGGCTCCCTTGTCTCCTTCCGGCCCCTCTTCCTAACTCCCTGTGTCTTTTGAGGTTAAGGCTGACTTTCAGTCATTCTCTCCACGTTGCTGGACTCTCTAAATTGTTTTCCCTTCGTTATCTCTGCAGGGATCAATCAAGATTAGGAACTGATTATTTCATTTACCTTGTTTTCCCAACACATTTCCTGCCTGAGCGCCCAGCAATTAATGGAAGTCTAGCCTCACGGTGATGACACCTGAATGGGTTCCATTATCCTGACCCTCGTTTTGGCCAGCCTGACACCAGGGCTGAAGGTTATACTGGAGAGAAAGCCCGGCTTATTAACGGGGCAGACACCAGGGGACTGGCCGGTTTGTGGGAGGAAAGATGACAGGGACGCTCGTCTTTGTCTGTGGGCCTGAACGGATAGAGACCTCGCTATTTTATTTTTCTATTTTTATATTTTTTACACATTTTATTTTTTTAAATAAATATATTTTAATTAATTAAAATTTTTAATTAATTAAAATATTTAATTAAATAATTAATAATTAATAATTATTATTATAATTAATACTAATTAAATAAATAATAAATAATTAAAAATTTTTAATTAATTAAAAAATACATATTTTTTACACATTTTATTTTTTTTAAACAGGCACTGACATGGGGCACCTGGGGGCTCAGTCAGAGAAGCTTCTGTACTCGGCTCAGGTCCTGATCTCAGGTCCTGGGATCAAGCCCCGCATCCGGCTCCTTGCTCCACGGGGAGTCGGCTTCTCCTTCTCCCTCTGCCCCTACACCCCGGCTCGGGCTCGCTCTATCAAATAAACAAAACAGAACAGGTACAGACCCACAATGTCATGGCCCGGGTGTGCTGAAGGACCGCACGGCTCCCACACACAGGGGCAGCCCCTTAAAGGCAGAGTGGGCCTGACTGGGAATCACAGGGAAGCGTCCTCAGATCACACATGTCCCCACATGGCCTCTGAGGTTCCATCCACCGTGATCCAGAGGGACACAGGTGCCACATTGCCCGGGGCCCCGGGAGGGACACGAGTGGCCATGACACCAATCCCATCCCCTCTGGAACCCTCACTTTTATGGCATCTGATGCCCCCTGGCAAGTGAACCACTGGGCTTCCTTGGAATGAACCCCACGGCCAGTGTGGTGACCTCATCAGAGCACCGTGGGATCCCTTCTGATGCTGCTCAGGGCTGCGGACGGGCACGGTCTGTACAGAAAGCCCGGGAGCCTACATATCCCTGCACGCGAACGCTGTCACTGTTCGGTTTCCCTCTCCTTAGACGGGCCAGACCCCTCAGAGGCGCACAGGGGAGGAGGACTCACTTCTCATGCTTTCAAAAAAGGACCGTTGCTGGATAAGGGTGACTTTTCAAATCAGTAGTTTTGGAACGATGTGACAGCCGCACAGGGCAAACAAATAGGATTTGTTCTTTACACAGCATCTCAGCATAAATACATTGTGAATGCATCTGGGATCTAGACAAACAAAAAGGAACACTGGGAGGGAAAAGCTGGATTAAAAGACTGAAAGGAAGAAGAGAAACAACAGGGGTCCTAGAGGACAGGAGCAAACTCCTTTACGGAGCAGCCGAAACGAACACCGCAAGGGCCCGAAAACACAGGAGGAAAAGGGACACAAATGATAAAGGCAGCTACATAAAATTGGCATCAAAAAGCCTGTACAGGGCGCCTGGGTGGCTCAGTGGGTTAAGCCTCTGCCTTCGGCTCAGGTCATGGTCTCAGGGTCCTGGGATCGAGTCCTCTCTGCTTGGCAGGGAGCCTGCTTCCTCCTCTCTCTGCCTGCCTCTTTGCTACTTGCGATCTCTCTCTGTCAAATAAATACATAAAATCTTAAAAAAATACAAATAAAAAAGCCAACCCAAACCAAATAGAAAACAGATACGAGCCATATGCAAAGTCAAAAACGACACAACGATGTAAGAAAGAACATTTGCAGGAAACAGACTGAGAACATGGGGCAGAAGATACAAACGGTTTCCAGAATGGTAAGAGAAGAAATGCCCAAGGAGGTTTCAATCTCCAGAAAGAGGGTCGGCCTCCCCGGCGACAGAGGAGACAGGTGGACACCCCCTCGCAGCCTGAGGGGCCGTGGGCATGCCATCGCCCACACAGGTCTGGGCACCACCAGCAGAGACATCGGCTGAACTGGACTATGAGGGGACAGCTCCCCAATGTCCTACCATCAGCCTGGAAACACCAAGCCCGAGACAGGGCAGACCGTCGCCATGTGCGTGCATCTGCCACAGCGAGTGGATACACAGACCCCATAAAATGGGCTCCCATAGCGGAGGAGGTGCAGGGGGCAGGGGAGAGCCTGAAGGGAGCCCGCCCGGTTTCACCGTTCTGATTTTGGAACTGGGGGAGTGTTTTGTAGGTTTAACGGGAAGCATTAAGCCGAAACGCAAGCAGATCCGCTGACAAAAATCGAGAGCAAACGGAGACAAATGAACCTCACCAACCACTCAGAGGTTTGCGGCTAGAACCCCAGAGAGGAGCCTATTCAAACGTGGCTCTTGGACGTGACCTGCCTGGAACACGCCTTCAGGATTACGAGGGCCACAGGACTACTTTCCAGACGTGATGAGACATAGGGAAAGTCAGTTTTTACAAATAATTATGTCCTAGTAAGATTTTCGGAGTAAGAGAAGAGAAATACAGTAAAATCAAGGGGAAAGAACCTATCCTCTTCCGGCCAAGTTTGCAGTAACAGTGTGAACCCTGAAAGAGAGGGTTTCAAATTTTTATTTTTCACTGTGGGGAAAAAAAGCCTATGTCCTAGCTCTGCCCCTGGAAAGGGCCCACAGGCTGTGACGTCCAGAAGCCGCTTTCCACTAGAAAGAGCGAGTTTCCGAAGAGCAACATTCAGGGGAGCGGAACGCTCTCGGGTCACTCTGGGATCCAGCACTGGCCGCGGTGCATCAGAAGAGCTCAGGAACTGACTGGATCAAGTCCCGTTGGCCAAAGTGAGCATCAAAAACAGCAAGTTTTGACTGAAAGAAATCCAGTGTTTAGGAATCTGTGGACATAGCCCCAGTTTAGACGAGCAGCAGCTCATCTGTCACCGCGGAAGGTGGCGAGGCCGAACCACTCTTCTCCAAACTGACCCCCTCACTTGAGGGAAAAGTCAAGAGCTCAGCCACCTTCGCAGCCTGCGACACACCCACTGCTTCAGCAACAGACAAGCCAATGAGAGGAAGAGAAGGAAGCAGAGGGACATCGTCCTATCTGAGGAGGCGTGAGACCGACCAGCCAAACGCCATTTGTCAGCCCCGATTTGAACCAACTCAGTTTCAAGGATTTTTTTTTTTCTTTTTGCAGCAATTAGGGAAATTTGGATTCCCTAAAAAGACTGGATTTTAGATGACATTAAGGAATCATGTCAAAGTACAAGGCTCTTTATGTTTTAGAGACACGCTATGTTTACTGGTAAAATATAGAATGTCTGCAATTTATTTTATTTATTTATTTATTTATTTTTTTTTTTAAAGATTTTATTTATTTATTTGACAGAGATCACAAGTAGGCAGAAAGGCAGGCAGAGAGAGAGAAGGGTGAAGCAGGCTCCCTGCCAAGCAGAGAGCCCGACACGGGACTCGATCCCAGGACCCTGAGATCATGACCTGAGCCGAAGGCAGCGGCTTAACCCACTGAGCCACCCAGGCACCCCTGCAATTTATTTTAAAACATTCAAGAGGGCAGGGCACCTGGGGGGCTCTGTCGTTTAAGCGTCTGCCTTCAGTTCAGGTCATGGTCCCAGGGTCCTGGATCGAGTCCCACCTCGGGCTCCCTGCTCAGCGGGGAGTCTGCTCTCCCTCCGCCTGCCTCTCCCCCTGCTTGAGTGCGTGCACTCACTCTCTCCCTTTCTCTCTCTCTCAAATAAATAAATAAAATCTTTAAAAAAATAAACTCTTCCAGGAGAAGGAAGGTGGAGCGGGGAGGAGCCAATCATGCAGGAAGGGACACAGACAAACTAAAATGAGTCAAAACCAGAGAAGGACTACATGGGGACTCACTAGTCTCTTCTCTCCTGGGTAAATTCTTAAAATGTCTATAGGAAAAGTTTTAACATACGAAGGAGTGGGGGAGGCAGAGGGTACCTCCTGCTGGGAGTCAGGGGGAGGACACAGGTGCACATCCAGGGCCCTGGGCAGCTCCTCCAGTGGCCAGGAGAGCAGGGCTGTGGGGCCCTGCGTCGGCCAGTGGGATAGTAGCCCTGAAAAGGGCCTGTGCATCGGGCTCTGACCTCTCTCACTCCTGGGACCCATGACGGCCACGGAGCGAGTGTCCCCAGGCTAGCCTGCTGGCACACACACCCAGTCGCCCCATCTCCGCAGCCAACACCAACACCAGGTGTCAGACCCAAAGGAAGGCCGACCCGCCCCCAGGACAGCTGGCCCAGGCGAGGAGGACCCCCCCCCACCAGCTCCGACTGTGAGAAATGATCCTGCTCTGTGGCTTGAAGCCTTGAAGGCTTTGGGGCTGTTTGTTCTCAGCAAAAGCCACCTGATCAAATGTAAATAAAAACACTGTTCTTTCGTTTGCCCCTGCCCTGCGAATGAAAAACAACCGGCTTGTGCCCTTGGTCCATCCGTCTGATGTGCACCAAAGAGGCAGAAGTTGGTAACAGGAGGGTTACGATCTTCCCTGGGCCGCCGGCCAGCTGAGCCTGCCCTGCCCCACGCTGACCCTGAGCCACATTCTCCGCTCTTCCAGCTGACGCTCTAGCGACTGCCGCCACCCAGGATCTCAGAAACCAGAGAGAAGGTGCACCCGGCACAACAGGGGTTCGGGGCCCGCTCCCCAGGCCACCACCTCCTTACCCGTCCACCAGCCCCTGCTGCTTGATGATCCGGTGGGACTCCTCCCGGGAGATCCTGCCATGGAACCAGTGCTGCGTCCTGTGAATCACTGCGGGAGGGAAGAGGGAAGGAGGGGACTGGCTGTGCTGAAGGCACAGCGAACCGGCCATCAGCGCCGGGCCCGGTTCCCACGGCTACAGCTCTCCTGGCGAACGCTGGGCCCGGGGGTCAGGGGAAGCTCCGGGAGGGATGGGGCCACCCTTAGGACCAGAGGATCAGGCCGCCAAGAGGCGCTTACCTGTACTTAGGGTGGAAGCGTGGAGGGGGCTCTGGCTGCCTGGGATGTTCATCCGTGTGCTTCGCTTCTGCGGAAGGAACGCCCGCGTCAGCGCCGACACAGCAGACCGCCGGGGACGTGCCCGTGCGGGCAGGCCCGGCCGGGATGTGGGGCGCTCGGCCGTGGAGGGACAGCCTCCCCAGCCCGCCACATCTGGCCACAGGCGTGAAAACAGAAGCATCCTGAGGAATCCCCACGACCCCGGGACTGAAGCACACAGTGAAACTCTGGGACATTCTGGGAGAAAAGCACAAGCTTCTCCACGGGAAACACTGGCCTACAGAGACCCCGGGCCATGGGGACGTTCTTTTCCAACATGCTCTGAGGCGGAGGTTCAGGGAACTCTGAGCCAGGGGGCTCACGTTTTGTACATTGTCTGTAAATCTCAGAGAATTTGAAACCAGGGGACACTCTCCACACGGGGAGGTCAGGAGTAGGAGCCTCCAAGGGAAGAGACTGTCCGAGGCCACGAAGCTGGTCGAGCCATGGCGTGAGCAACGACCAGCCGCGTCAGGGCGGGAGGGCTCCGTGCTGTCCACACACGGCCGCTGACCACCCCGTAGCGGGGCAGCTCTGTGCGGGAGCCACGAGGTCAGAGGGCTCTGCTCCTGCCCCACGCCTCCCCCTGGGAACGTGGAGGAACCCCGAGCTGAGCCTGTGATGCCACCCTCCCCTCCTAGCACCTTGTCCCCGCAACAGTGCCCACGGGGCCGTTCTTCCAGGAGGCCAGCGCGGGGGCAGGGGCACTACCCACGAGGGGACCTGTCCACGGGACGGCCTGGCCTTACCCTCCAGGCATGGCCTTCCTCCAGGGCCGCGCTCTGGGCTTCGGCCGGGTTCTCGATCACTCTTCCTGTTTGCCCAGAAAAATCCATCGCCACCAGGGAGTTCTCAGAGACACTGCGCTGGAAGGAAAGGCCACAAGTTCTTAAAACGTAGGCAACCAGGCTAGCGATGGCTGGGGAAGGGTGACGGAACATCCCGCCCCCCGCTCTAAAGTTCAGGTGGAAATTCTGTGGCAGGAGGGCCCCTGACCTAGAGGTGGCTTTGGTTTCTCTGGAGGGGAATAAGAAACACTCCAGTCCCCTCAGTGCACCCAAACTCCACTGGAGGCCGCGGGGTGCCGTAGGGTTGGGGTGGTGGGCAGCCACCAAGTCCCTCCCCCAGGGGCTCAGTTCTGGGCAACACATGGACCCTCCCTGTGCACACCCGGCCCCTCCCAGAAAGGGGCCTGGGGGAGCTAAAGGGTCATGTTTGGAGAGGACGAATTGTTCCTCCACCTTTGGGAAGTAGAGGACATCCTGAGGACAAGGACACTCCCAGCTCTAATTCCCACCAGGGGAAGCTTCAGGGTCACCCATGGCCATAGCGCCACGGCTGCCCCCGGTGAGAGCAAGACATGGCTGGTGACAGTCCCTGAGCTCCTGAATAGAGCCACCGCCCTGACCGGTACAGGACCCGACCCCAGCAGTCACACCGCCGGCCAGACAAACCAGTCTCCCTGGAAACAACCCGTGCTCAGCCGGGATGCTGGGAAGGGGCCCGCCTTTCGGACGCTGCAGACGCACTCACCACCGGTGTGCAGAAGGAGGGGAGCAAGGCCTTCCGCGGGGGCGGGATCCTGAAGTTCTGGTACAGCAGCATTCCGTACTGCGGGGGAGGGCCAGAGTCAGCTGCCGGGGCCCCTAGAGCCCCCCAAGCCCCGGAAAGCGGCAGACCCGTGCAGGGAAGGACCGCACGGAGTACAGAACAGAGAGCGACCCAGCCACCGCTATGGGCACATAGCCTCGCCCCTGCACGCTTGTCCCCCGTGGACAGGAGCAGCTTACTGGCTACTCACGCTGGCGGGGGGCAAGGGAGAAGCAGGCAGTGACGATGTAATAATATCGAGGGGTGCCTGGGGGTTCGGTTGGTTAAGCGACTGCCTTCAGCTTGGGTCATGATCCCAGGGTCCTGGGATGGTGTCTCCAGTCCTTGGGCTCCCTGCTCAGCGGGGAGCCTGCTTCTCCCTCTGCCTCTACTCCTCCCCTGCTCATGCTTTCTCTCTCTCTCAAAAAAATTTAAAAAATCCTAAAAGAAAAAAAAAGGTCTAGCTCCACAGTTAATCTTAGAGAATGCTGCTACGAGCCAGGTACGCTTCCAAGAGCTTTATTTCATTTTACTCCTCTCCGCGTCAGGAAACGCGGCCTTTGTCCCCAAGTACAAGTAACAGATGCAAGAGGGAAGTGAGGTAGGTCACTCAGGGTCATGGTAAAGTAAGGGCTCTGGGTTCAAACACACACAGCCGGCCCCCCCACCCCTCACGGTCCATGCTTCCTGGGCCCGGGCAATAAGCAGAGTCCCGCTCGCCTGTAACCGCCCGCCTGCGCCCCGGTCCCCCACTCGCCTACACAGGAAAGGAAGACGGTTGGGCAAGAAGACGCAGTTATCAAGAGGTAGCTCATCTCCAGCTTCAACCCCATAGGGTGTCCTCTGGTGTCTGGAACAGCACCAGAAGGTCCACCACGCGCGTGCCGGTGCACCCAGAACATGGGGGAGGGGCTGTGAGAAGTACCCAAGGGCTGCTGGCCACGCATGTTCCAGAATAGATAGAAAGACAAAAGGCTGTAGGATCTCGGGGCGGGCTACCAGGGAGAAACCCACGTCCCCGCATATCCCAGCACGACGGCGGAGACAGAGCGACAAACACAAGTGGGGAAGAGCGCACGTCATGGTCACAGGAGCCGCAAGCGGGAGGCGGCTGAGTTCCACGGACACACAGAGAGAAGGCAGTGGAACGGGGTGCGGAGGGCGGCGGCGGGCGGAAGGGACCCCACGGTCTGTGGACAGTTCCCCCGACACTGGAGGCGAGACAGAATGACGGCAGACGAACCCATCTCGGGCGACGGCGGCCGCTCCAGCAGACCCATGCTGGAAGAACTGGGCACGTCTCTGGTCCCCGAAAGGGATGCGAACCCAGGAAAGGGTCAATGTACATGTGCAGGGAATTCAAATTAACGACAGGGCCTCTTCTAAGTCTTAAGCGGCTTAAGACACGGGAAGAACTGAAATCTAGGGTGAGATACTGAGAAGGGCCTCACCCCTGCACAGACATGGTGGGAACAGCAGGGCAGGCTGGGGCCCAGTGAGGGGAAGATCGTGCCAGGACAGCCAGGGGGACCACCAGGAAGGAGAGAAACAATGTGGACAGAGGTTAAAAATAGAAATAAAACTAATTGATGGGTCTCCCTTGCCCCCCCCCCAAAAAAAATTAAATGGGGATAAAGATGAACACAGGCTGATGGGACAAACTGAAAACAGGCAGCAAATGGCAGACGTAAGCACCAACGTTCCTAACAAGCTGTGGAAGGACACCTTTCCCAACAAACGCGCCAACAAGAACGTGAAGATGACCAGAGGAGAAAGCCCTATTACACGGTGTTTGTCAGACACGAGGTCCCGGAAAGGCAGAAACACAGAAAGGAGGAGAAAAACTGTGCAGACACAGACATACCCACAGTAACGTCGGGTGGGTGAGGCGTCGGGGCGGGCATCCCCGATGCAGGTAACAGCAGATTTCGGAAGGACCAAAGAATTGATGTCAAACAGACATAAATGTTCTTTTTGATTTTATTTATTTACTTGAGAGAGAGAGAGAGAGAGCAAGCGAGCGCACACGGAGGCAGAGGCAGGGGGAGAGGGGGAAGCAGGCTCCCTGCTGAGCAGAGAGCCCAATGTGGGGCTTGATCCCAGGACCCTGAGATCATGCCCAGAGCAGAAGGTAGACACTTCACTGACTGAGCCACCCGGGGGCCCAGAGACGTAAGTATTCCAAACTTGTGTGACCTAACAACACACACTCGTACATGCGTGTGTGCACGTGTGGTCTTCTAAGCAGAAGTGTGTACGGCATGTGTGCACACACGTGTACGTACCAACACTCCGAATCGAATACTTGTACAAACATGACAAACCGTTGAAAACATAAGGCTTAAAATCAATGGCCTAAGGATCCCTTTCAAAGCATTAAAGAAAAATCATCAAATTCAGGCCAAAGAAAGAATAAGAAGGGAAACACACACACCCCCTTTAGGACGGCCCAAGACTGCTCCCGGTTCCAATAATTTACTCGGAGGACTCGTCCTTGACCCACGAGCCATCTAACTAGTTTGTTTTAAGGCAGGTATCGAACTGTGTTTTATTTGCACTGTAGTCTTGAAATATTATGTCTGCCTTAAGTATTAAAGAAGCTGTCTACTTCCCACAGTTGTTTTTTGAAGTTCCATGACTAAGGATTCTTGTTTTCCTCACTTAAAAATAAATACTCCAGCCTTCAGAGAGGTAGTTTTATTGGCATAAAATGACAGTTTTCAGATTATTAACCGTCTGTACACGACCTACAGTACCAATTCCTTAACAGTCTTCCCTTTTTATTTTAGATGAGTGGGTTTCAAAGAAACACGATCCAATCATTCTTTTTCCTTTACACTTCCTTCCGTTGCTTGAACAAAAAAAAACGCGTGGCCATAGAATTATTCGCCCCCATTCTGGGCAAAACGTTTCTTATTTCCTATTCACATCTGCTTGAATGCAACACTCTCGGGCACTTTCACAAAGAAGACAGATGAGTGACAGCTGATGTTCTGCTCTGGGGTGTAAAGGGACTGCAGAGACGTCCCCACGTAAGGGGAACGGCTACAGCTGCGGGTTCAAAGTCAACATGTGCCACGCGAGCAAACAGCCTCCTCACACGCGACGGCGCAGGAGTGGGGAACACCGTCACGTGAGTGACACGCCGATCCCTGTCTCTTGGAACGGAATTAAACGTTCAACATTGATGTTCTTAAGCGAGATGGAAGTTTACTTCCCTGTGCGAAGACTGCAAGAGGCCTTAGGGTCAACGTCCATTACTGGCAGGCTCAGCCCCAGGAACGCAAAGCGAGTACGAGATGCGCTTTCGACCCTGAGGGCGCTCCGGTCTTGTAGGAGACGGACAAATAAGCAGCCGTGTTCCTCAGTTATTCGCAGAGAGGAAATCGGAGCGGGTTCCGGAGGGACAGTGTAGCCCCAGAAGCAGGACGGGACGCTGACCGACATATCCACGTGCCTCACGGGTTCCACGGTCTGTTACCGTTCGCACCACACAGAGCTTAAAACGTTCCCAGAAACTTAGAGAAACTAAAAATGTGGTTGATTTTCTCCTTCTGGATTCTTTGCAGTCAATTTTAGGATCTCCTTTGTGTTTGCACACATTTCCTTCTTAAAAGACAACGGTAGGGAGAGGAGTGCAGTGGGCGTTTCCTCTCCCCATTTCAAGTTCCCTGTGTTTACGCGCTTTGGTTTCTACCTTCTGTCCATTTCACTTGCTCTCCTGTTTTGTCCTGCTCCCGTCATTCAGGCTGCTGTGGCCTGGAAGCCTGGCACACAGCATTGGGAACAGGGGCAGGGGTGGGGAGGGAGGGACGGGGCAGGGCGGGGCGTGCAGGCCGCCTCTGAGCAGAGGTGCTTTGGGCATCCTGCAGGGGACGACGGTCTCTGACAGACATTTGAACTGCCTGTGTGGGCTGGGGCGTCTCTACAGCAAGCCTTCCTTACTGAAACCTGCGCTTGGGAAGCCACACCTCCCTCCTGGGGAGGAATTTCTAGGGCAGATTCAGAAACTTCTAGAAGGTGGGGGGAGATACTGGAGCACAGCAACAAAGGTTAATGCTCCCTCCACGCGCCCCCATGGCTACGAAATCATTTAGCCGCACAATAGGAAAGAAGGAGAAACGGCAGCTGATACTACCTGCCAGCTTTGTCCCCCAAGCGTCTCTGGGGACAGCAGGGCCTGTGCTCTCCTACACAGGCTCGAGCTCCTCTTTAAAGAGGACCCGTGACGGGACTCAGAGGCACGAAAGGTCCTTGGCTCACTGAAAATAAGGTGTTGCTCTCCAACAAGCCCTGGGATTTTAATAGGACGCGGACAGCTGTTGCAGTCTTAGCCATCACTCAGGAGTGACTCCTGGATACACCGGGACCAGCAGAAAGGCAATGCTTCCTCCAGGGAGGACACGTACGTCTGACCCCCTTCTGGGAACAGGACAGTCTGAGCACTGGCACTCCGGGGACCTGCCATCACTCACTACCGACAAGCCCCCGGGTCAACCGTGGAAAGGTGCAGCCCAGTGTCTCCTTAGTCTGTGCCGCTGAGATCCCTGGACTCCGGCCCGAGACCCAGACTCTCTGAGGTCCAAGCCCCCGCCTGCTGCCCCTGCAGGCCCCGGGTCGATGCCGGCCTTGCCCAGGACACCAGGAGGAAGAGCTTCGGAAAAGAAACAGTCCCAGGCAGACACAGGAGTCTGGGTGGTGCCCGCTGTTATCCAGCTCACTTTTTTCCAAGCATCTGTTATGTTCTGAGTGCCGGGCAATCCTGGCTGTCCGAGAGGGGCTGGGGGGGCACCAGGGAAGATGACATCTGGACCGAGACCCGGCACTGAGCAAGCACAGGGAGGGCGGACGGATGGACCGTCTCCCGGTCAGGTCCCCTGTCAGGGAGATGGACAGGGAGGGACCTGAGTCCATGCTCACATCTGGGAGGCTGGGACAGGAGCTGGGCAGAGGGAATAGACACACTTTATAAGGTTTCCTATGGCTTCAAACTGCCCCGACTCCCAGGAGAAAATACACCCCATTCTGAAGGTGACGTCGGGGTATGAGGCGAGGGTCTAGAGTCTTCTGATTTCGCTTCCTGCTCTGAGACCGAGATAGTTCGAGACGGGACGGGGAAGGGGGTGGCAAAGTAAGGCGTTCTCATGTGGGAGGAGGTCCATCAGCCTGCTTGGTGGCGGTAAGACGCCACGGCGCATAACCAGCTGGAACTGAAGGTGCCCTTCAGCTTCCGTGTCACCTGAGTGGCCCAAGCCTGTCAACCACACCAGTAGCCGTTCAGTCCAGACCCTCACCTCCTTCAGGAACAGCCTTTGGGATGTGGGGTCTGGGGCTGACTGGAGGCAACAAGGCCACGTGCAGACGTGGACGGGGGTCCCCATCCTGCTGACTCTCATGGAGGGCAGTGGATTGCTGTGGTGAGCTCTGGAGCCCAGCGTGGGGCCCCAGAGCTGACGGTGCACACACCAGTAGGCCCCTGGCCCCCGCCCCCAGGCAGGACACGATGGGCTTCAGCTCTGTCCTCGGTCCAGGGAGGATGGCGACGGGCAAGCGTGCCGCTGAGCTACGGCGAGGTTGGACGTGAGGAAGAGTCCGGCCCAAAGCAAACGCTCGCCAACGTTCCTGATCCTGCGTTAACCTCCAATGGGACGCATTCCTGTTGGCACTAATGGGAACACTGGATAGGACCGTCACCGCTCCTTCTGTGCGTTTCCCTCTCCGTGCCTGGTTCCATTCCGCTGGCCCTGACGTCCCACGCAAGATGCCCGGCGGAGACCTCGCTCCCTGGATTGGCTGTGCACGACCCCAAAGCACCAATCCCACAGCGTCACAGACGTGCTCCCGCTTCCTTTCCTGCTTCTTCCAAGACTATGTATCCGCAGACCCAAAAAAATCACGCGCATACAGAACTATTGAAGGTGTCCCTTCCGCCTGCCCCACCCACGTCTCGCCGAGTGCCCCCGTGCTCTCCTACACAGGTTCGAGCTCCTCTTTAAAGAGGACCCGTGATGGGACTCAGAGCACACCAGCAAACGCACCTCTGCATTTTAGCTTCTCCTTTCCTTGCACCTACAACCAAGGGAGCATTTGCTTTTTAATTCTTAATAATACGTCCTGGGAATTTTCCCACAACACACTCCAGAGAGGACCCCGTTCTTCACGTCACCGAGGAGTATCCTCTGAACGGACATCCCATAAGCTGTAGAGCTGGCTTGTCAAGGAGTCACCTCCAATCTACGGTGTCCTGTACCCACATTAACGTCCCCTCCCTGAGATGTTAATGTTACAAGATAGTAACATTTTACACTTAACCCGTCTCTGTTTAAATGGCAGCAAAAATAAAACAATGTGCAGTTCCGGGGAAGGGAGGCTTCCAGGACACCCGTGCTTGGAGCAGGTGGCCCCTGGCATCTCCAAGAGGTCACGAGCTATGCCTCCTTCAGCGGGTCTGTTTCTCTAGGTGGCTCTGCCCGGACTCTCTGCCTGGCTGGAAGCTTCAGTGAAGGTTGGCATTTTCATAAAGAGATTCCTAGACCCCTGGCACGGGTCAGCCACCGCTGACTGCGCCTTGTCCTCCAGACACCCTAACGTTCACCTCACACAACCACTGCACACAACGGTGCGATGCCCATGCACTTTATGTACATGAGGAACGGCAGCCATGTGGGGCACGGATGTGCGCAAAGGGGCTTTTCCCGGGATCGCAGAAGTGAGGTGTCCTCTGCTGTTAAACGCCTAGCCTTCACCGCGGGGTCACATGGAATCACCGTGGCGGTTACTGGGAGTGGCTGCTGAGGGCACCGAGGTTCTATGCAGCGGACTCCCTTAAGAACGTGTGGGCAGGAGACGCTACGTGCGTCGGGCGCTGTGGGGAGCTGCATGGTGTGCCACGTTTCCCTCGTGGCCCCGGCTTTTCGGGGAGCAAGAGTGTGATACTCCGTCTCTGAAGTCATTAACCCGCCTGAGGAGCGACGTGCTCTCTCTCTCCCTGGCGTCCGCTCTGGTCTTTCTATTCCTATTTCCCTAGACCCAAGGCTCTCAGCCGGTGCAGTCTCCCGCCCCCACGCCCCACCCAGGGACATCCATTCACATCTGGAGACGTTTCTGGTTGTCTCATTGGTTGAGGTGCTCCTGGCATCTGGTGGGAGAAACCAGGGGCGCCGCTCTGAGTCCCACCACGTCCCCAAACAGCAGGGACCGCGGTCGGACGCCGGCTCTGACCTAACGGGAAGCCTCTGGGAGCAGCTTCTGAGACCCTGTTTGGAAGGACGTGTGGGCACACAGGGCTGGCGGGCCACGGGGAGGGCTGTCCACGACGAGACGCAGGGTGCACGCAGGATGCCGCGTACCTTGAGGAGCCTGCACGCCGTCATCCAGCACGTTCTGCCTTGCTCGTCTTCGGCACACAGCAACCGCAGCTCCTTCGTCTCGTTCCTGACTTTGTTGGGCTGCAGGAGGTGAGAGAGGACCCCGTTGAGTGCGACACGGTGAACGCAGAACACCCCCGTGCCGGGCAGAACTGGGCCCGGCGCGCACCAGCCAGCAGGATGAGACCAGAGAGGCTGCATCCTCCGCCTGGCACAGACCAGCCTGGGTTGGGTTTAGTCACGAGGGCTCGGCCAGCTCCCAACAGGGGTATCTCGGAGGACACAAACTCTCACAAGGGAAAGTGGTGGTTGCCACGGGGACAAGGGGGTGCCCAGCTCTGTGTGGGGAAAGTTGTATTCAACTGGAGAACAGGGCCCAGAGCTATGGAAGAAAAGATGTCTGGTTGCCTCCCAGGAGGACCGAGGTGGCAGCTGAGAAAGGGCTCCTGTGGGGTTCAGCCAGTGAGGGGAGAAGCCCCTGAGGGGGTCAGGGCCTGTGGCATATCTGAGTGGCCCCAAGGTGGGACCCATGGACGGTCCAGAGTGTGGCAGCGTCACCCAGGAGAAGGGAATTTGGGGGGCAAGCAGCCTGGGGCGGGTGGAAGGTCACTGTCACACATGCCGCTGTGGAGGGATGGCAGGGCCCCAAGCAGAGGCAGGGTTTACCTGGCGATGGGGGAGAACTGGTGCAGGTGCACTGGTAGGAACAGAGGGGATGCTGGCCACCTGGGCTTCAGTGGCCCCAGCCCCTGCAGAGGCTGCCCCTGTGCTGCTTTCCCAGGCATCTCGGGCGCTGGGCTCCTGCTCCTCGCAAGCCCAGGAAGCTTCGCCAGGTGAAACAGAAGCTGGGATTTGTGGGAACAGTGTGCTCCCACTCCCTGGCCTCTCCTCAGGTTGGGTGGGGCCCGGGCTCACAGGTCAACCTGGCTGGGGACTCTGTGCACACGCTCTCTGGAGCATGGGTGTGAGCAATGGGGCTGCTTCGGCTCCCACACAAGCACCTGGGAAGATGCAGTGAGATGACGGCGGGAGAGCCCTTAGTGGAGCAGCTCACGAGCCCTGTGTATGCAGGAAGCAGCCTCTACTGTGACCGTCCCCAACATCAGGTCGGCCTCCACAGGGGAGAGTGGGCCCTGCACACGGGTGTGTGCACACGGACATACGTGTGCATCTCTATTCCCATAGCTGTGCACATGTGTGCAAGTGTGCATATGTGAGCACGTGTCCGCATCTGTGTGTGCACGTGTGTGAGCACATGATGGATCCACATCTGCGTGTGCATGTATACACACGTGTGCATCCCCTTGTATTCACACAGGTGTGTACACATGTGCAGGTGTATATGTGAGCACATGTGTGTCCACATCTATATGTGCACATGTACGCACATGTGCATGTACGTGAGCACATCTGTGTGTTCATGTGTGTGCACATGTGGAAATATGTGTGAGCCCATGCTCTCACACACGTGAGCACAGAGGCAGGGCAGGGGCACACCTGCTGTCCCGGGGACCAGGAGCCCATACGTAAAGTGTTGGCTCTCAGTACCCCGGAGGCCACCCAAGTGACAGGCTGGGGTCGCTGAGCCACGGAGCCCATTGATACACGGTCCACTACGTCCTCTGCCTCTCCCCAAGGTGCTAGCTACTCAGAGAGCGACACGGAGTGAGAACCGGGAATGAATCAGTGCACCGGGAACGTGTTTCTGTAACAAAATAACTCAAATAACCCCAGCGCCAAGACAGGAGTCTCGGGTTCCATCCCGAAGTCCCTGGTGGGATGCCACGGGGAGAGGTAGCCTCCAGACAGGGCTGGAGGGCGGTACCTTTATGCAGAAGCCGTAGTCGGTGGGGGCACTGTACTGCTTCTTGCCGGCGATCAATGAGAAGACGCTGCTCTCCTCCAAGCCCCCGAGCAGCTGCAGGTGTCGGGGCTCCTGTGGGAGAGCGGGGGTCAGCCACCGGGCAGACGGCAGGCGCTCCCGCGTGCTCGTCAAAGGGGCGGTCTGCGCACACTGTGTGTGCATTCCTCTCTCAGAGCCCACAGACCGACTGGCCGTTTAGAGTAAGTGCTGAGGAGGACCAAAGGCACCCACAGCCCTTGCCAAGAAAACCCAGCGCCCAGACTGCGACAGTGGGGCTCCTGGGCGGCTCAGTCGCATGAGCGTCTGCCTCAGGTCATGATCCCGTGGTCCTGGGATCCGGTCTCGTGTTGTCAGGCTCCCTGCTCCCTGCTCAGCTCCCTCTGCTGGCTGCTCCCACCCCTGCCTGTGCTGTCGCTCTCTCATGCTCGCTTTCTCTCTCTCAAAGAAATAAACGAAATCTCCCAAAAAGCCAAAAACCCCACAAAACAGCATATTTATTCGAGACTCTGCCATATGCTGTGTCAAAGCTCCTGAACCAAACATTCAACATGAAGACCAGAGAACATCTAGAGCCTAAGGTTCAAAGTGGAGAGCACGCTGCCAAGCCCGGCCAAGGCCAGCTCTGCAGCCGTGGTGTGTAAGGTGCAGACATCCCACAGTCTTCCCTCGACAGCTTGTCCCATCCTCGTCCCCGACCTTCCATCATCCTAGTTCTGCTTCCTGCTCTGGGGTCAGCTTCTACGAGGGCACTGGGAAGTCGGGAAATCAAGTTGCCCTCCCGGCCCCGTATGGGATGGAAACGGCTCCATCTGCCCCCGCCCCTTGTCCCCGGCTCACGCGGGGCAGCCACTAACCGCCCAGAGCGGCTCGAAGGTGGCCTGGCCCTCAGCGCCCTCGCCTGGGGTCCCCCCAGACCCTCCCTCCTCTCTCCTGGAATGATGCACGCTTGGCCACAGTCTGCGGGGCCCTCCCCCGCTGCAGGGCGTGTTCACGCACCACAAGGACAGTGTGCAAGCAGGAGTATGCAAGGACACCAGCCAGCAGAGCGAGCCCCCAGCACCCCAGCTGTGGACGCCGGCCGCTGTAGCTTCCATCTCTCACCTGCCCTTCCTGGACATCCATGCCCAGCTCCAATCTCTTCCCGGAAGTATCTACAGTAACATGTACTAGCTTGGCGACAATCTACCAGCCACCCCCATGGCCAGCCTGGGTGCCAAATTCCATACTCTGGAAACAGTCAGCATCTTCCAGGACTCAGGCCACCAAGGAGGCTCTGCTCCCAAGACCGGGGCTGGCCGGCCCGGGGGCCTGCAGGAGGGGCAGTTGCCTGGTTTCCGAGGGAGACCAGTGGGCCGGGAACTGGGAGTCAGCTTCTCCAGTTATCACAAGCCCGGGGGACCTGGATGTGCTTTTCCAAGGAAGCCACGTCCCCTCTGACTGCCTGGCCTGGTGTGACGGTGGTGGCAGCAGCGGCTTTAAAACCCACCTTGGACGCCCCCTTGGTGGAGCAATAAAGGCCTGATCTCCGCAAACACACGTACAGCTTTCTCCACGACTTCCTCCCCAGCTCCTTCACGTGCAAGAACCCCTGGATTTCAGGGCAGCTACTAGAGTTCAGGAAGTTCTGTTGGAAAGACGCGTCAGAGTCAGAAGCTGCTGCCGCCAGCCGGGAGCAGGTGCGTCTCACTGCTGTCACAGACACTCTGACATCGTCTGAATTACAAAAACACTCTTTTTTGGTCAAACCAAGCATTTTCAAACGACAGTTTTCCTTTCAAAAATCTTAAAACCCCATGTAAATCGGTGTGCAGGACATTCATGCCCACGCGAGCCAATGGACCTTCCCAGCATTGACGAAAACACGGGACGTCGCAGATTCCCCTATGAGACAGTAGGGTTAAGGGCCCTCCCTTTCTCCTGGGTTCCCATAAAACACGCAGCCTCATTAAAAGTTAGGGTGACAGGAAGCACTGGGAGCCGTGTGGAAGGAGACCGAGCACATCACGTCCATTGCGTCGCCCTCCATGGAAAGGAGAGCTGATGCATTTCTCCAGGAGCGGCTGGGTGACCCTGCCGTGCCAGCTGACCCCTCCCACATGTAGCACGCCTTCCTTGGGAAACCGAGGTCAAGAGCCAGGTCCGGGAGCAAGACCGGAGCAGTGACAGGGTCGGGTCCTCCTCAAGGGACTGCGAGGGACACGGCTCCTCCCGCAGATGGACAGGCCAGTGGACACGGCACAAATGCTACAGTCAGGGTCAGGGCGTAGGGATCAAGGGGGCTTTGGGAAACCCCAGAATGGAGCTCTGAAGCCCTCACTGTTCGGGAGGTGAAAACAGGCGTGGTGATCCAGAGAGAAGACGAAGGAGTCTCGAGAGCAGGCAGAATTCTGCAGGAGCTAAATTTTCGTGGTTTCTCTTAGCCTGAGGCCGCCTGGAGAATGTTGGCTGCATTCATGAATGGTCTGTTCTCTCACGCGACATGCCGTAAACAGACACGTTTCTCGGGGCACAGCCTAACAGTCCCCATTCCTGCCTTCCCTGGGAGAGCGTGGGCAGCTCAGCTGGGGCCACGGGGAGGGGCTGGGGAAAGGCCGGGATTTCCTGATCAGAGTTCAGAAGGCAGAGGGACATGGTATGAAACTCATTTTAAAGTACACTCTGCTACCTTCTCAAGGTTTTTATGGCAGCTCTTCTCTCTGGCAAGGGGGCTCAGGGTCTGTATGGAGATCCCCAGGGCGGCAGCCTGGCCTGGGACCAATGCTCCGGAGGACACGCAGGCCCGCGGCTGCTCTCTCCCGCCCTTCTGCTCACGCTGCTTCTAGCCTGGAGGGAGCTCATCCTGCTGGTAAGTGTTTCGCCATGAAGGAGCCTGGCTATGTACCCATTTCCCAACCAACAATCACTTCCGGTTACTCTAAACCCCGACAGGAGCCAGGGCTGGTATGAAGACGGCAACCCCGTCTAGCTTCTGGGGAGCCGCCACCGCCACTGGAGAGGACGTCCACCCAGAAACGCGTCCCTGCCCAGTACCTGCAGAAGCTGGTTGTGACCGCCGTTGGACTGCTGACACCAAGTGACCATCTGCTCTGGGAAGAAATTCTAAGGAAATGGGAAAACAAATACATTAGGTTGGTTTAAAAGTGGGGAAAAGCAGCGTTACAGGGCCGCTAGCGTTCAAAATGTTCCTACAGGCGCGCAGACGTCCATCTGTATTTAAAATGACGTCTTTCCCCTCCCCTAAGTAGCAGGGGGCTCCGGATCCTGACAGGTCCCAGGACACGTGCCTCCCTCGCCACCCCCCAGGGAAATAAAAAGGAAAGAAAGATCCAGCCCGATGTGCCTGGAAACTCCTCCTTCCACAAACCACGTAGTATTACTGGCTATTTGCACAGAGTAATGAGTTTTTCTTCTGTTGAATATTGAACCGACCTGTTCTTGGTTGAACCAATTCAACCATGAACTTTCGATGTAACTGGAAAACCCGCCCCGCCTCTCTCCCCGCTCAGAGGCTAACCCTCTCTCCCTCTGCGACCACGTAAAACGCCCTCGTCACGTCCGGCCACCACAAGGGCATTTAGGTAAGCATCGGAGACCGAGTTCCGAGCGAGGACACCTCGTGAGACAGCAGACCGGGTTCTCAAGCCCTCTGCCACCCCCGTATCCATCTCACTTCCACTATCCGCAGCTGCTACGGATCCCAAACATCAACCCCGAGAGTTCGAGAGTCGGAACCCCTGAACCTAAAGAGGTTAAGACGCTCACCGCAGGATTTTTGAAAAACTCGTATTTCGCGTAATTCTTCCTAAATAAAAACTTGCTCTCGCTTGCCATGGTACTCTCCACCTGGACCACCAGCTCGTGGTCTTCCAGGCACCTCTCTGTGGAGGAAAAACACACGTGTGAGAAGACACAGGCAGAGCCGGCCAGGTGCCTTCGCCCCAGAGACGACCTCTGGCTGCTGTTGGGCTCCTGTTCACCCGCTGTGAGCGCAGATGCGGACCAGGACGGACGACACTGACACCTCTCTGTCGTGCAGTGACATGTGACACCCAAAGGTGCAAGGGGTCCTGCAACAGGTCGGGGGAGGACTTCACGTCAATCCCGGCTTCTGCACGCTGCTTCCCCATTCAGCACTGGGGAACATGCTCATGAAGACTTACGTTAATAGACTCCTGGCAAATGATGGGGCCCTTGAGCCAGGGAATCCCGCTCTCATGAAGAACAGGGACTACAGTAACTGGGAAAACATCCACAGATAAGCAGTGTCTGGAGGGACCCCTGGAAGGCGGGTGGGCGAGGGGAGAGTGAGTGCAAAGCCGGTGAGTCAGGAAGCTCCACAGACAGACAGGCAGTCTGGTAAGAGTACAGGAGGGGACGCGCCACGGTCCGTCCAAACGCCCGGCCTTGAGGGTTGAGGCCCACGCCATCGGCACGCGGGGCTGCTCTCCTAGCCTGTATTATGCTGCTGGAGCAGGAGGAAAATACGCCGTCACGGCACGCACAGGTGTGCACACACCCAGGGCACCTGCTCTGATGGTGCCATGCCCCCTCCCGGAAGTCCACTCAACAGGAAACCAACCACCGGGGAAAACGGAGTGTTCAGTAGGACAAAGGCACGGCAGCCTTGCTGTGTGAACTGAGGGCAAGATGGCAGAGAAGGAGATGCCACAAACCTGGCTTGGACCGGTGGGCGGGTCCTCCAAAGCCCCCTCCTCCTTTCCCATGGCCAGAGCCTTGGTGCCACATAGAGGATTCTTTGGTAAAAACATATTTGAAGCCCAAATTTGCCAAGGCCCGGGATGTCCTTCCCACAACTGCCAGGAAGTCTGGGGCCACGCCCGCCACCAACCATGAGCCACGGAAAGCCCTGCCTGCTCCTGGCTGCGGGGGAATCCGCCGGCCACAAGAGACCCTGACCCCGCCCCGCGTGTCCCCACGACAGAAGGGAGGATCCGTGTCCGGCTTGAGCGCGCGATCATGACCCCTGCCTTTACTTTCCTGAAAAGGGACTCCTTTAGGTTGGCATTTGTTAAAACGGCGTTTCCGTGCAAAACAAATCAGTGACCTCTGTTCCAAAGTTTAGTCAGAAAAAAACATTTCTGTAGTAATAGGGACAAAGTCAAGCACCCCGAGCTTGCTGATGGTTGGTTTACAAACCTGAAATTTTTCACCCAGCAAAATAAGGAAAAACAGACCTGCGGGGCTATAAGGACCTTAGCAAGGACGGGACGATGCCACAGTGCGAAGTAGAGAGTTCTGTCTGCACAGGGTCCTGAGGAAGCCCCACCGTGGCGGTGGCGGGGGGGCAGCAGCTCGGAGGGGCACACGCGTACACGGGCACAGGCCCTAGTGCTCCCGGACAGCCGCTTCCTCCCTCCCCATGTCCCCCCGATCCTGGCAACATCTCGGGACAGCTGTGCACACGCTGGGCACAGGGCAGCCTGGCAGAGGGGAGCGGGGAACCCAAGCGCCCTGAAAGATGTGTCCTCCTCTGCTCTGGGTCCCTCAGGGGCCTCCTGCAGGGGCTCAGGTACCCACAGGGGGCTCCCCTTCTCCAGCCCAGGGGGCCAGGAGCCTAGGACAGCAGTGGGCCCAGAAAGTCCATGTGCGACCCCTTTCCCAGAGACCCCTGTCTGCCATGGATGTCCAGGCACCAGCTTTCCCAGCCGTCGAAAAGCCACTCCGACAAATCAGCTCAAAGCCCTTTTCTCCAGTTCTCACTTTCTCTCTGATTCTAAAAACAGGTTCGCTTTCTTTCTTTTTTTTTTTTTTTTCCAAAGCTTTTATTTTATTTATTTAACAGAGACAGAGAGCGCACCAGCAGGGGGAGCAGCAGGCAGCGGGAGAGGGAGAAGCAGGCTCTCCGCGGAGCACGGAGCCTGACGCGGGGCTGATCCCAGGACCCTGGGCCTGGACTGTGACCTGAGCCAAAGGCAGACACTTCACCGACTGACCCCCAGGCACCCCTAAAAGCAGGTATTTTCAAACGACCTTGGGTGAGTCTATTAAATAATCCCGTCACCGTCCGTAAACTTCCTATAATCACAACGGAAAGCGACATTTCATCCGCGTGTTCCAGAGGACTTTTTGTACAGATCGAAGAGTCAGACACTCTTCAAAGGGGATTCGTCTTTTCTCAAATTTCTGACACTAAAACCAGCATCTACGCCACCACCCTACTCCACACACAAAAAGGTTACAGATCACACAACTCGAGAAGGCAGATCTTTGCCTTAAACTGTGCTGCAGGCACGGGAGTCCTTGGCAGAAGCCTGAGCCGCCGGCCCCGGCTCGCGTCAGCCTCCCACCCTGCCGCCCTGCCCCCCTGTCCCCCCCCAACCCCCCATCGCAGGGAGCAGCTCCAGCTGTCAGTAGGCTTCTAACAGCTGCTCCGGGCTCCGCAGGACTGGGGACCGTGAACACAGTCGAGGGGGAGATGCCACGGAAAACAACCCCGACATCTGGACACGCCCGATAAGCAGCGTTCCTTCTAAATACCTCAGTGGGGAAAGGATAGCGTTCTGGTGCCTCCTGCACAGAGCAACAAGGAGACAGAGATGGGGAAGGTCAGCATTCAGAGGCCCTTCTGAGCACTGAGGTCTGAACATGGATGCTATCTCTCCTTCGACACCTGTCCGCATGTCCGGATGGCAGAGTCCCTGCAGCCAAGCCCTCCGAGGGGTGACTGCCACACCTTTCTCGCCTGGCCAGGTACACATGCAAAGCTGTTAAGAGCCCGGAGAGAGCGCTCAGGCTTTTTCCTAGAGGACAGCAACCTAATTCTCCCAACTAGAGAATTCACCAAATCCCTGGACTTTATGGGAGCTGTCTTCCCGTCACTGCTTGATGCACAGTGGACTCCCCTGCTCATGCGTCCTGGGGTTGGTGGTCACCCAGGGCCTGGGAGGGGGTGCCCCATGCCCTCCTGGGGACACAGCTTACCCGCAGTGACACTTGCGATGCCACAGGGGCTCCAGGATGTCGTCTGTATGCCCCCGGTTCCAGTTGCACAAAATCCCTTAAAACGATCATTTGTCCGCTAGACACAGTGGCAGGCTGACTGTTAGCTCTCCCGATATGCCCTCCACACGCAGGCCTCCTGGCGGAAGTGGGCCCTCAGGAGTCCCGCCACGCACGGGCTCGGGCCAGATGGCAGAACCATGCCCGCCCTGTTCTGGTCCCTCTGGCTGTACTTGGTGGCCGCTGAGTGGCCTCGTTTGGAGACAGTGTTCTCAAGGCTGTGATGTCTACATTAAAGACCGAGGCCAAGGACCCCCCACCCCCCACCGATAGGCAGGATGTGAACAGATCACATCCAGGGAGCGGCTCGCCACGGCTGGAAGTCACAAGGCACAGACCAGCCTCCCTAAGATCGTCCATCACTAAGGGCTCTGCCCCAACTTGTCCAACGGCCCTGAGTGGTAAGGGACTTCAGGTGGTGCTGCTGGGGCTGAGGAAAGGCACGGACCCAGCTGTGACAGCAGCACTGTTCAGTGGGAGCAGATGCATTCCCACCGGCCAGAGATGCTGCCCACCGAGCACCAGTGGGCACCTCTGCATCTGCTCCCTTCCCCTACCCCCACCAACGGGGGCCACCGAGAGCTGCGGCCACACACATGCATGCTCGGTCTTCTGCTAGTGCAAACAGAATGTCACTCCTGCCGGGGAGAAAGTTTAATATCGCTAAGGATCCAATATTTTACCTGCGAAGATCTGGGTAGTAATTGTGCCTCAAAATCCTCAAATCTGAGGCCATACACAGGCCCAAAGTGTCATTGGAATTAGCTCACTTATGCACCAATTATAAGGGGTAACGGTCTGCCTCATACCAGCCTTCCAGATCTGAGGTGCTGTGTGTGCCTGGCACCACAATCTCAGGCCTCTTGGACACACACGTCCCCAGAGCATCCCCAACGCACAACCGAGAAAGCGACTTTCCACAGGGTGCTATTAGTAACCGGGAACATGGGGCTGGATGGCTCTGCCCGAGAGTGGGGGTCCCCTGGCTGTGTGCCAGGACCCAGGGACACCCCCAGAACATCATCCATTAAAGAACTCTGCACCAGGCGAGTACACTCACGCCCAATGGTGAGGATTCAGTGCTGACACATCATGTGGCTCTCCAATGGGCACGGCTACAGTGCCTGCCCCAGGGTGGTGTGCAGCGGGCTCCCGGATGTCTGCTGTCCCCACTGTCCCCACTGCTGACCCTCAGATGCTACTGAACACGGGTAAGAGCAGGATTTTCGCCTCAACAGCAATGTGGCTGAATTTAAAAAAAGGACAGCTTGCATCACAAACCAAAGGGCACACAGAGCAGATACAGGAGCATGAAGGCCGGAGGCTCTGCGGACCTGTGGACGGCAGGACTGATCAGCTCTAGAAGCTCCCACATCCTGCGCTACCCAGGGCTTAGGAGCTGCTGCTCCTCTGCTGCCGACCCCGCTGGAGCTGCTGGCAGAGAGGAAGCGGAGGTGGAGCCCCTTGAGGGCTCGTCACGCACCTGCAATTAATGTCACCTTCTTCCTTTTGTCAAACAGGATCCGTGTTCTTCTGCCTTTTTTTCCTCCCATCATTTTCCTTTCTCCCTTCCTTTTTTGTCACTTTAACTTGGTTTTATAATAAAGTATTTTCCCCTTTAGGGATACCTGGGTTAATCCTCTGCCTTCGGCTCAGGTCATGATCTCAGGGTCCTGGGATCCAGCCCCACACAGGGCTCCTTGCTCAGCGGGGAGCCTGCTTCTCCCTCTCCCTCTGCCCCTCCCCCCTTGCTCAAGTTCTCTTGCTCTCTCTCAAATAAATAAATAAAATCTCAGAAAAAAAAACTACCTTCTTTAGAGTATGTTAAGTCCCTCCGTGAATAAGACAAGGAATAAACAGAAAGCGATGGCATCCTGAGAATACTGTGTGTGCATGCACAGGTCTTTACCGAGTTTCGCAGAATGAATTCCTTTTCACGTGGGCGATGACTGCCGAAGTTTTACCGTATTTAAATTCCCCATCTCTGGAATGATGGTTGTGAAATCAAGAGCTACCACAAAAAAATACGTGAACCAAAATTTCTCACCATTTTTGTATGTTTGATTTTTTTGTGTGTATCTGTCTCCATTTTATATGTGTGATGTTTTATGTGTGGACAAACATATTCGCGTATTGCGATACCTACAGAAGGCCTTTCTACAATTCCTTTCAAATTAACAGTATTCTGAGTTTTGAATGGGTTTTTGGGAATATTCATATTGGGGTCCAAGTCCACAGCTGTGTTTTTAAAGTTCCTTCTGTGTGTGTGTGTGTGCACGGACACACATTGGTATACATGTGTATATACCCATGCGTGGCCTGTGTATGTGTCCACACACGCTACAGGGCTCCAACTGTTGTTTAATTTCCAGTTCCTTGGGAGCAGCACATGCTGCTGGCGGCCCCAACAGACCAATGTAGGGCCCATTCATGACTGCAGGGAGCTTGACAATGGAGCTTGACACCTGTTCCTGCAGGTGGCACCAGTGAACGCACCTGGTGGGAGAAGGCTGCTAGATGACGGAGGAACTTTCCTCGGGCCTGCAGGTGCACTGGAGATGGGCCAAAACAGGAAAGGGAGAAAGTGTTCTCAAGGCTAACCGTGAGCTGCACGCTGCATCTGACGGCACAGGGGAGCGAGAACATGGGGACTTGAAATGACGCCAACTCAGGGGGGCCCTGGGGCTCAGTCAGTTAAGCGTTTGCCCTCGGCTCAGGTCATGATCCTGCGGTCCTGGGATCGAGTCCTGCCTCGGGCTCCCTGCTCAGCCGGGAGCCTGCTTGTGCACACTCTCATTCTCTCTCTCTCTGACAAAGAAATAAATAAAATCTTTAAGAAAAATAAAAACTATGCCAACTCAAATTCAGGTAGCACTGTTCAGGCTTAGACTGTGTAACAACGTTCTCAAGAACACTGTTTCGTTACATGGATATTCCAGACCTGGAAATTCCAATTTGACCTATTCGCCTTCTAGAAAGGTTCAGAAGGAACGTTCAGAACCACGGGAAGAACTCTGTGACCCGCGCAGTGTCTCCTGCAGCACATGGGACAGACACAGTTGCTGATTCGGAGAAAATTCTGGTTTTAGGTGTGTGCCTGTGATTTTGTAAGCACCAGCCGTCATCTGGTAAGAATTTAAACAGAAGTCTGAAAAGCTTCCTGACCTGAAAAAGACCACCTGAGCAAGAAACCCCACCAAACCTCAGTGGGCTCTACAAACAGCACCTATTTCAAAATAATCTCCTGCTCTCTAAACATGAGACACACACGCATGTGCAACCTGTGCGAACACTGAACCAGGCCAGGGCTACACCCTGCAACTTCTGCAGGCCGTCTCCACGGCACCCCACTCCCGGGAGAGGGACGAGCTGCCGTGGGCACGGGGACACGGGGACGGTGCTCCCCCCAGCCCACACCTGTGCACCAAGTTCCGAGCACCTGCCACAGCCAATTCTCCAGCCAAGTCACAGAGGGAACCTTCCTGCTGTGTGCGCGACCTCGGGAACAGCCGCCGCCACCCTCCCAGAAGAAAGACTGTGGGAGCAGTAGGTGGGGGAGGGCTGGGAGGGACGCAGGAGAAGTGTCAGGAGAAACAGGTGTGCAGTGAAATGCGGACAGCACACAGATGTCTCGCTGTCCGGGCAGGGACCCCGTGGGGACACAGCTGTCTGCCTGGCCACGCACCAGGTCCCCCAGCGTGCTCCCTACCTAGTCCCAGGTGCGGGTGGTGCTCCACGAGTGTCCAGCTGTTGTCGTCCACACAGTGACTTCTGTAAACCAGCAGCTGGCACAGGTCCCTGGCCGTCATGTCTGCTGGGATCTCCACCACTCTGCTCGTCCCGTCCTCACTGAAGATCCTCACATCCTGCAACACACAAAGGGCCCTCGGGCAGATGAGAACCTGGGGTTTTCGAGGAATAAGCCCCGAATCGAGATCGAACAGGAAAGGTAGCACCGTGGCGTTCCAGCCTGGGTCCGACGTCCTTGCAAGCAGCAAGGCCACCTGCCGTCCGCGCCCCACGCCGCCCAGCTGCAGGGTTACAGCAGGAAGTTCTTGAAATGCCGGGACACCTCGGGGCAGACAGGGCACAGGGCCAGGCCGGGGCGTACGAGCTGCTTCCCAGCCACCTGTCTCGGGAAGCGCCAGGACACGCGTCAGATACTGCCGGTGGTCTCCGGGCCGAACGGTTCACAGCAGAACCAACTGCACAGACAAGCGGAGCCCCTCAAATCCTAACTTCTGGCGAGTCCACCTGCTGCCCGTTCCCAGGTCCGCCTGCATACAGCTGGCGCCCAATCAGCCTGCATGCAGCTCGGCTCACCAAGGCCCAGGGAGAGTCGACACGAAGAAGTACGATTCTGCTGAACTTTAAAATACTGAGAAGACGGGGCAGAGTAGGAGCACAATCACAAAATTCTTTGGCTCCCTTCCCCCTACAACATGACACAGCTTCAGCTCCCTGGTACCGTGCAAAGCCACCACGAATGACGCGCTCCCAGGCAAAGGGACGGTCAAGCAGAAATCCCCGGGACCAGCAATGTCCTCTGCCCCAGCCACCAAGTGACAGGAACAGGGTGTAGCCTCTGGGGGACACAGGGTGTTTTCAACCAAACCAAACCAAACCAAACCACCTTACCTCAACAGCATGGAAAAAGCAGTCAGAGGAACAAGATGGCATTTTAAATGGAGACGGTGTCCAGAAAGGGATTTTGTCCCCGGCTTTTCCACTGTCCCCCGTGGGCGGGGCCCCACCAGCAGCGGATTGTGCAGAGGTGCGGGGAGCCGGGTGGGCAGGGTGGGCAGTCTCTGGGCAGGCGGGGAAGCTGCCGGAGGTGGGGGGCTGCTTCTGCCTCGGCTAGGTCTGCTAGGTAGTGAGTCAAGCCACACTGGGCAGACCAATCAGCTCCTTCCCTGGGCCTGATGCAAGGGGCCCCCACAGGGTCCCCACTCCAGTACGGCTGATGGGGAGATGGACCCTCAGGCCGACAGGCCAGAAAGAGCCCCGCTCCTGTGCTCTCGGGACAGCGAAATGGAAATGCGGGGCACCCAGAGCCCAAGTGTTCTCTGAATCCAGGCCTGTCTGCCAAGTCCCTCAGGAGTCTGTGTCTGCGGCGGAGTGGGAGCTCCCGTGGCCTCTGAATGTCACCTGGTCCTGACCAAGTGGCCTCAGCTCTCTTGCTCCCTCTCTGTCCCTTTACCCAGGTGCAAACTTTGGCTGGCAGGAGAGGGCGAGCTGTGCGGTCAAGTCCCTGTTGCAAGGCAGTGAACGCAGGAGCAGGAATGGGGATCGTCCAGTCCTACAAGGACTGTCCTCGCTGGAGGCAGGGTCAACCTGGAGGCACAGCTCCCGGGGGCAGGTCACCACGTCTGCCCCGCCACACCGTGACAATCCCCCGGGAGCCAATCAGGACTGAGGGACGAGCTTGCAGCTCGCATGTGTTTTTATAGAAACCTACTCATCTCTTTCCGGTAGTGCACATTTCACTGGACAGAAGTTACACTCCCACGAAACAAATCAAATATTCAAATACGGCTGACACGCGGCAGTCCATAAAAGTGACATTTAAACAACGAAAAAAGGTCTTTTGTCTGAAGGTCGAAATTTAAACGAACGCACACAGTAGCACGAAAGAGAAACGGATTTAGAAACTACAAATGGGTCCAGATAATTCCTTAGAATACTGTCTGCCTGGTCCTCTGCCAAGCCCGGCGAGCTCCTGAGCACTCTCTACGCTCAGTGCCGGGGAGCCTCTCTGGGATGACGACCACCGCTTTTTTGATTTGATTACGCTGAAGTCTGTTTATCAACTTCCCTGCCCCAAATCAGGTCTGGCCCCCATACTGAACCTCCTTACCAGCCCGAATGCATTTTTCTTTAAACCAGCCCTTCCCCTCCCTGCCACTCGAAGCCACCACCCCCTCCCCCCAGAGGTCTATATATAGTCTTCAGTATTAAAAGCTAAGATGTACTTTGTCACCAGGCCAAGTCCACGGCTTTTGGATTCCCAGAGCAGGCAGGGCTGGCGGGCCCGGGGCAGGGGCAGACACAGACGGTGCCCCAGGGACAGGACCTCACAGCCCATGCTGGCCGCTCTGCCCTAGCCCCCTCCCACACACAGCAGAGCTGCTGGCCAACGATGGGACAAACCCCCCACGACAGAAAGGCAAGAAGCCACTATACGCAGCAGCAGTCGGGGGTGGGAGTGGGATGCGTCCGGGGCTACACAGGAGAGGACGTCAGCGATTACGGAGACACAAAGAGAAATGCTTGGTAACGGCACTGAAGGGACATCCAGCACCATGAGGTGCCTTGTCAGTCACCACCTGGGCAGTGCTGGGGCTCATTCTGGAAGCAAATAAGGACGTGAGATCTCAGCCTGGGGCACAGGCCTGGGTCTCTGCCCTGCGCAGCTCACGGCTCAGCCAGGGGGAGATTCCTCCCGTGGGCCTGTGGTCTCCCGGGCGGGGTTGGGACTGTAAAGGGAACGTATGGATCTGGGTCACACCAGGACGGGGTGAACTCGCAGCGCAGCCCCGCAGTGCCAGCCTCTACGGCCTCAGGCAGGCTCCATACTATCTGAGACTCACTTTCCCCTCTGGGCCGTGAACACTGCTCGGGGAGTCCACCACAGGTGCGAAGCAGTGTTTGCTCTGAGGATGTTTAAGCACCACTGATGGCCTCCCTCGGCAAAGCGGGGGCAGGGAGGCTCTCGAATCAGACTGGGCCGCAGTCCGGCTTTAACAAGAACTAGCTGCAGGAACCTGGCACTGTGGGCCCGTGCCTCAGTCTCCTCATCTGTGAAATGGGAAGTCTGTGAGTAGCACTGACCTCACAGGGCAGGCCCAGCTCAGGCTAAGGAGAGCCCCCTTTGGAAAGGTCTTGGCCCCCTTTGCCTGCCCCCTTGAGGCCTGCTTTCAAGGAATGAAGCACTCCCCCGTCTGCAGGCTGCGGACGGCAGGGAAGGGCCCCCGCCTGGACCCTAAATCACGCCTGCAAATTGGGGAACAGAAGCCTCCTGACCGGTAAGATGCCATAAGAACAATTCAGTGGGAAAAACCAACCCCTGAATCCTCACTTTCCTCTTTTCTGTTGCAAAAAAACCCTAAGTAAATCATTGCTTTCAAACACAAAATGGTACTATTGCACAGAACTTAATCCCATCAATAGCGTGAGATGCTTCTCTGCAGAGGTGAGGGGGGCAGGGATGCTCCGTCAGGCAGCCCAGCCCCTGCCCTCGGGGGACCCTGTGGCCTATGATAAAACACCTGGAGTGGTAATAGAACCTTGTGGCATTCCTGGAGCCTTGCTGTCACTTTTTATGCACTCCCTGCACAGAGAGAGCAGCAGACCAAATGGAAGGAGTTTGAGAACCATCAGGATAGAAGTGACGTCATCCCAGTGGCCCCAATCTGCACCATGGGGAGCGTGGCTTCTGGTCCTGGGTCTCTGGCAGGTCAGTCGCTCCCATGTCATGCACCAGGCACATGTTGCTGGCTGACTCACAGGCTCAGAACCTCCTATTGGGTTGAGAATCCCTTCACTCTGGCCCAGACCACCGTGCAAAGATAGAAGGTGGGGTACTTCCAGTTCTTTGCACCCAGTGCTGTCTGCTGTGCAACATGACCCTGAAGGTCAGGCCCCCCAGGATGCATGGACAGAGCAGGGCTGGGGTGGGGGGGGGCAAACGCTGGCCTAGGAGCCAAGAGAGTAGGGAGGGGAGGGCTCTGAGCCAGGAGCTCCCTGGCCAGCTTTGTCTTCCTTCTTTACCTTCGATCAACCCTTCTGAGCTGGGAGCTCTCCCAGGTCTGCTTTCAGCACATTTTCCAAGGTTAAGGACATAAACTGAGGTTTTCAGAAACTTTCTTGTAAACACTGGGTTGGGGGGGGGTCGTCAATACTTATGGAGAAGTCAGGCTGTAATCCACTGACTGCCAGGGACAGGAAGTAGGATGTGCTGATGGTACCCATCCTGGCTGGGGCCACGAGGAGGAAAATGGGAAAGTCAGCCATGTCCAGGCAGGTAGATGGCACCGGGTGCCACACCTCTGCCGGGGCAGGTGGGGGACTCCACTTCTGAAGACCGCAGCAGCCATGCTGGGGCCCAACGTGAATGCCCTGCAAAGCAGGTGTCACTGTCCCCCAACGAGATGAGAGACGCGAGTCTCAATAATGCGGAAGGGCTGGCCCAGCATCCAGCAGGTGGAAACTGCTGGAGCCTGGACCTGACCCCAGGGCATCTGCTCTGGTTTGCTGCTTTGCGGGCATGACACTCCCCAGTACCAGACAATCGTCTGTGCCACAAGGGATCCGTGGCTTCCTAGGAGCGACCCGAGAAGGCTTCTGATTCCGGTGTGCTCGAAGCCCCCTGATCGGGCATTTGTAATAAGTCTGGGAGAAATTAAATTCAGTTCAGACTGGGACAGAACCGGGATTAGACTAGATGAATTTTAGTGAAAAATAATGGAAATCGAGCACCTTTTTCCAGTTCTGTTCTAAATTAATGGTTCTACTTCGAGACCTAAAGCAGGATAACTGAAACTGCCCCACGTCATTACATGGCTCGGTCCACGGTAACAGGAATGTACGTGACGGTCCCGTCCAAGTTGGCCGAGGCAAACTCACTTTGAAAGAAACCTGCATTATAAACTGCGGACGTCCAAGTTCCAGTGAAAACATATTTTCAGTCCTTGCAAAGCCTTTCTAAAAGGAGTTAAAATCGAAAAACAAAACAAAACAAAAGAAAACCTCACTGAGGGGCTCCTAGCGGGCTCAGCTGGTGCAGCGTCTGCCTTCAGCTCAGGTCATGATCCCAGGGTCGCGGGATGAAGCCCCGCATTGGGCTCTCTGCTCAGCGGGGAGTCTG